GGTATGTCTTGTTCCTGAAATTATCCTTGTGCACTTGTTCTGCTGATATTAGTTACAGAGTCCAGCATTAGAAATATATATGGAAACATGCAGAAGATTTGGGAGAAGCAGATCTATTGTAGGCAAGAGATGCTCTTCAAGACAGATGCGCAGATACAATCCAGCTAAAGAGAATTCTTTTACTATCTTGCTCTTATTCGAAGTTGGATGCTACATATTAACATCTGAAGTCATTAAACATACTATATTGCCTTCCAGTGCTCAATATTATTGCAAAATTGGTGAATATGGAGAGAGGTGCATTCACGTGAATTGCTGTCTTTAAGAAAACAAAATGGGTTTTAATGAGAACTCAGTTTCTGGAAAGAATCATGGTATTGATGGTAATTACAAAGCAGTAATTCACTGAATTCATTCTCAGAGGCATAGTTGCTGTCCTTACAATGCACCAACTGTTCAAGCAAAACAGATTTGAAGGATTTTTCTTTTTTTTTTTTTAATAGAAAATAACTTCATAATATTATCAGTTATGCAGCTCTTGTGTAATGATTTCTTTGGGGTGCCCTAATAAACCCAACTATTACGCACTAACACACAGGCATTTCTGAAATGGAAACTTGACAAATAAACAATAAAAGACATTTTATTTTGAATAGATATTTTTAGCTCTTGAACTTGATGTGCATTAAGGAGTAAACACATATTAATTTCATGTTAAGTGCAACTTGTTAACCCAGCACATGCCACTGCACAGACTGGAAAAGATCTTACACCAAAAGTGTATTAATTACATATTCTTTGTTTTCAACATCAGGCAACTGGAGATGCAGCCTGCTTAATAATGCTGGAGGCTATATTTAATGGTTGATAGACCAGACTGTAAATCTTTATCTTTTCCCAAACATGCAGGATCTCTAGAGATGCTGAAATACACATTTTATGCCATTTCTCAGTTTTCACTGTTTCTATCCCCTAACGCCTGAGCTCCTACTAATACCATGTGACCTTTAAAGGGCAGCACATCTTGTGAAATATTACTCCATTGTTCTTGGCCAAGAAGGCTGAAACTTGTGTTTTAATCTTTGGTCTTTTCTGACTACCTCTATACCTAGCAGATCCAAAGACTGTATAGTGCCAAATTGCCTGGCAGAGTAATTCAAACACTTTCAGCTGACTGAGCAGAAGGTAGCACTGATTCCTGACTCACTGTGCACATTCCAGAACTAAGCATTTTCCTTTACACAAAACTCCAAATTATTTCAAAGCACTTGTATTCCCAGCTGCACTTGGTCTCCAACTTTACTTACCCCACGTCAAAGTAACCAAAGTAAGTAATTCACTGGAAAGAACTTATGCAAATGCAAGGAGCTTGTTTTCAGTATTTTCAGATGGCTTTACTCCTGCTAGAATTTCAAATAATATAATCTTGATTGAGCAACCTGGTCAGGCCTAGCATGATTGTCATTGCTACCTTTTCAGAAGGTTTTATACAATAAAGAAATGAGAGAGGGCGCTTGAGGCAATGAGTCTTTGAGTCACCTTAGTGATTGGATTTGTTCACCTTAATTCCCTGATCTGTTTTATGAGAAAAGACTGTTTCTGTAGCATGCAAAAGCAGATAAAGTCTTTAACATGCATTTGAAATAAATATGCACGTACTAGCTCGTTATTTACCCAGGCAATCGGTGACATTCTATCATCTGTGCAATCCTATTTGAGAAAAGAAGTTGCAGCAGTTTGTCAGAAAAAGATGCTGCATCTGAAAGGTCTGCCAAGTTTATCAGCATCGATCCAGTGCAGGGAGATGATGAAACACTTCAGGTCCTTGGCAATCTTTCATCTGCAAATAGGGAGGGTTCTCTCACAGGGAAGAAATAACCTTTTGAAGAAAGATCTTTTGACTAAAAGGTTCCTTTTGGTTATGATCTGGGGAAAAGGAAAAAAAAAAAGCAGAAATAAAATAATAACAAAAATAAATATTTCTTCTATATAGCAGCAATGCTGAGCATCAGTAAGATGCTTAACTGACCTGTTAGCAAAGCTGTGTATCCGTTGCTCACCAGCATACTGACTTTGCTAATACTGATTTTGGCAGTCACCCACATAAACCCTCTCAACGATGCACTACGGCAGTATCCTGTTATATTCAAATGAAAGTAGTGAGTTACCTTAAATCATAGGTCATGATTTTTTAATCTAGCAATTTGACAGTTTATAGAAAATCTTCCCATATTCAGGACAGAATGAATTCCTACAGATTTTGAGCAGGCAGGCAGCTGGCAAGAGATTCAAATGAGCATTCCAGCTGAGCTCCAGGTAGGGAAATATCACCCATATCATTAGGAATAAAAACAAACAGCAAAACCTTACACAAGAGCAAGACATCATGAACACCTCGTCCTCAGGGGAAGAACTCACAGAATAATCTAATCACAGGAAACAAAGGCATGAACCCCCAGTTTCCTAAATATCTCTTTCATGGAATTTTTCTTCCATTAAATACTTAAATAATTAAGCTCAATTATTTGAACAGAAGAATGTTAAACTGTATTCCCTGACGTTGGCATTTATCAAGCTATAGTATAAACAAACTTGCTCTCTTTAGGCATTAGGCTTCTCTGAACAGAACCCTCATAACTGCAGTGTTTATACTCCTACAAAATAAAACCATTATTATAATACTATAGATTCTTTACTCAAGACTAAAAAAACAACATTAGGCAAAGTTAGAACAATGTTTACATTATTTGAGAAGTAGTTTTGAGGTCTAAACCTAATAAAGACAGTATGGTTTTCAATACTGCACTCTAAGGTAATTAAAAAATAGATCCCCAAGGCTCCATTACTAGTGGTTTATAGGCATCTCCTACTCAAAAGCTCAAACACAGATTCATGGAAACTAAAAGGAATTATTCAATGAATTTTGCTTCTAAAACGGAAGTTAAAAAATACACAAAGACTTATTTTCACTTTTTAATATTTTATTTGGCTACTGGTGTTCAAAAAACAAATTTGCTCAAAATCCCATGGAAAAATATAATTGAAGAGCATCAAGGTGTCATATTTTATCCCCGCTACAAATTTAAATTTCCAGATTTTCTTACAGTCTCTGGCATGTCATTCACTGGCTGAAGGAATGGGAGATTGGAAAGATAGCTATGGTGGTGGTACAACTACACAGGAAAAATAACTACAAACCCCAGTAAAAGTATACATTTAATAGCTTTTTGTTTGTTTTTAAGGGTGATCTCAAGAGCTGAAAAAAGTAACCCAAGTGGGACTCCATTAATTGGCTTCTATAACTGGCGTGCCTTATTTTTTTTCTTATCTAGATAATAATTCTGCCATCTTGCCTTCGGTCAGACATTGCCTTATGCCAAGTTATTTTTGGGTTAGTCTAGAGCAGCCTGTTCTTCAGCCTCACAATAAAGACTACAGCCAGCCCACAAATAACACTGTAGTGTTAGGGGATTGACACCAAAGTGCCAACAGGGTGAAGGGCAGCAAAGTCTTCCTTCATAAAATGGTTAAGCTTGAAAGTGACCTTAAAGATCATCTAGTTCCAACTCCCTGCCACAGGAGAGGACACCTTCCACTAGAAAAGGTTGCCCAAGGCTCTGTCCAACCTGGCCTTGAACACTTCCAGGGATGAGGCATCCGCAGCTTCTCTGAGCAACCTATTCCAGTATCTCACCACTGTCACAGTAAAGAACATTTTATTTATATCTAATCTAAACCTACCTTCTTCCAGTTTTAAGCCATTCTCCCTTGTCCTGTCACTACATGCCCTTTTAAAAAAAGGGCCTCTCCAGATTTCTTGTAACCCCCCTTTAGGTACTGGAAGCTGCTCTAAGGTCTCCCCTGAGCTTTCTCTTCTCCAAGCTGAATAACTCCAGCTGTCTCAGCCTGTCTCCACAAGAGAGGCACACCAGCTGTAGGTGGTCTCCTCTGGACTCACTTGAACAGGTTCACTTCCCTCTTGTGTTGGGGGCCCTACAGCTGAATGCAGTACTCCAAGTGGGGTCTCATGAGAGCAGAGAAAAGGGGCAGGATCACCTCCTTCGACCTGCTGGTCACGCTCCTTGGGATGCATCCCAGGATACCTTTGGCTTTCTGGGCTGCAAGCGCACACTGAAGCCGGCTCATGTTCATTTTCTCATCGACCAGCAGCCCCAAGTCCTTCTCTGCAGGGCTGCTCTGAATCTCTTCTCTGCCCAACCTGTAGCTGTGCCTGGGATTGCTCCGACACAGGTGTAGGACCTTGCACTTGTCATGGTTAAACTTCATGAGGCTGGCATCAGCCCACCTCACAAGTGTGTCAAGGTCCCTCTGGATGGCATTCCTTCCCTCCAGGCTATCAACCGAACCGCACAGCTTGGTGTCATCGGCAAACTTGCTGAGAGCACACTCAATCCCACTGTCCATGTTAATGACAAAGGCTTGAGGCTAACACAAGTATGGTGAAGAGCACTCAGGGAGAGCTCACCATCACTTTGTGTTGGTTTTCAGAACAGAATTCTTAGTTAAATTCAGTAAGATAATAGACCCCTTACATTCAAGCATGAGGAAAGGTAAAAGCCCCATTCTCTTTCCTAAGACCAATAAAGTCTAGGTTGAAGCATTGCTCCAAACGTCAATTTAAAAGCAAATACAATTCAAAGGTGTTATCAGAAGCTTTGTGGCATGGCCAGGGTCTGTGCAAAGCAGCACAGAATAGCACAGCAAGCGTTAAATGAGCTCATGCAGATGACAGAAAGCCTAGTCACCGACAGGAGAGTTTTGTAAGGGATAATTTATCCCACCTTTTACAAAGCCAATGAAATCATAATGACCTCCTGCAGCAAGACTCAACTAAGTAGGTTGCAGTACCAAAAAAAGATAGAAAACAAGAGAGGAAATTCTCAGTAATGCAGTATCATACCAGAGCCTGCAGTCCAGGACAGTGGCACCTGGCAGCCCTGCAGAGAGCTTCAGCTCTCCTTGCAGTTGTTAATGCTTCAGCTTCTCCAGCAGCCCATGTTGGAGCATTCAGTCAGCATACATTTTTTCCACAACTTTGATGGGGAAAGATAGTATTATTTTTATGTGAGTGAATCCTGTTTGGAGAAGCAACACAGCGAGGAAGGCAAGGAAACACAGCCAGACCTTTTCCCCTGCTTTAGTAGCAATCGATAGAGTCACTCACACCACTGAGAGAACATGGCCAGCTCAAAGCAATTTTCTCAAGGTGAGAGGCCACAGAAACAACAAAATTGCCAGCAACAGAAGCTCCAATTCCCAATGAAAGGATTCCCAAGGTTGTACAGAAAGTAATGAATATCAATTCTGCTGCAATATTATTTACCTCCTAGGAGAAAACACTCTCCAGCACTCAGGCTCAAGCACCTCTAAAAGTTCACAGGAAAAAATGATAACAACAGAGAGATGCAAGCCAGAGAGCAAACTGGGGGATCTGTTCAGCAGCTATACCGGCGTCACGTACCTTATTTCTCTTTAGCACCCTGCCACAGGAAGCTTGGCAAAAATGAAGATGGTCTCAGTGCTGCTTCTGCTGAGCACCCTCCTGGGTACCCCTGCGGCACCTTCCCGGCATCCTTCTTGTTACCGGAGAGCCCTCAAAGACCACAGCTGTGACAGCATGCCCGATGGCACAGAGAACCTTCGCCAAATCGATGATGGTCTGCAAAATCATTTTTGGGAAGGGAAGGGCTGTGACACGATCTGTTACTGCAGCTGGAATGAATTGCTCTGCTGCCCGAAGTAAGACCACACTCATTTTATATAAACCCGTACTGTTCTGTGTGACTGCTAATTATATATCCATCATTTTACATGATGGAATAAGCAACCATTTTAAAGAAATGCATCACCTCACATAGTTTGAAATAATATTGAGAGAGCCAATTACCTACTCCACCGACAGTTTTCAGTTTTTTTTTTCCAGTGTCTCACCTAGGACTTGCTTATGGTGTAAACCTCCATATCCTATTATAGGGGACTTCAGTGTTTAAATCACCCAATTTTTTACTCTTCTGTTTGATCTAAACTGAGCATGATAACTACATCATATCCTTACTCACAGCACTTTGCAAAGATTTCAGGACCATAAACAAAACTATTAGATTTCTGTTACACATTGAAGAACTGTATTGCTATTCTAAGGCATATGCACATATGTCAGTTGAATAAATGATTCTGTAAAGACAGCTGTTTAAAGTAGGAAAGCAAAAAAGGAGAACAGAGGTTCACAAATGCCTGCAAGGGAGGGTAAAGATTTAGCTCAAGAACATAAACACTTCTTCAGCTCGCTGGCACTGCTGACAAAGCTGAATGGTGAAGTTCTCGCTGAACATGGGTTTTGCTGTTGTTGTTTTACAGAAAGAATGTACATCGCAACAAAATTAATATTGAGTTAATAAACACCACCGGCCCATATTGGCTTGAAGTAATAAAATGTATTAAGATGTATTATTTAATTCAGCTTTCCAGCAACATCTTTTATTCAGGAAATTTAATAAAAAATATCAACACTGCAAAACTTACTAATGCTTCAGGGACACTAGAATGTAATGGCATTACACAGGAAGCAAAATTTACTTTTAATATGTGCTCCTCTTACGACACAAGTTTCTGATGTCCCCTAAAATCCAATAAAAGGCAACTTTCCAGCACTCCTGTAGGGGACTATGTCTGAACCAAGTGGGAATGACTTCTGCAGCTACAAACCTCATGTTCAAACTGAACACAGTTTAAATAAGTTTTTCATATTTTACTTTCCCTAAAACTAGCTATGGTATCCTCACTCTGAAGCACACTTTTGGTGTCTAGCTTCAATCTCTGAACTGTGAGCAGCCTAACAAAGCCTCTTACTTTGATACAAATACATAAGGTTTTACTTGAACCATCCTGAGGTACAGACAACCTATGCTGCAGGACTGCTCTCAGGACAAACGCACTAAACAGTACGCATGTGCATGCCGAATACATGCACATGCTTTTTTAATATAATATTATGTATTTTATAAGTTTACTTTCTCAAAGATACAATTCCAGGGTGGAGTCTGCGCTGTTCAGGCAATAAAATGTTTTGCCATCTCTTCCAGATCAGGCCAGCAGAGGTAGAAATGCAGTATCTACATCTAGATCTGCAGTTGGATGTGCATTGCTGCAAGTGCAACCCATGAACACAGTAATCTTATGTATACCCCATCATAAGCTAAAAAGTCAACAACTAGACATGCATGCCATGTTAAAGCTCTGATAACCCAATGATCTAATTATTGAAATATCTGATAATATCTTTCAGGGATATTTTCTTTGGACCAAAGATATCTTTTGTGATACCCTGCAACAGTCAGTGATGGATATAAAGTCTGCCAGTGAAGACAACAGACATCATTCTACAGTCACATAACAATGCTTTCAAAGGAGAAAGCAAAACCACCACCTCAAAAAAAAAACATTCTAACCACAAGACAGTGCCTCTTTTTACACTGTAGAAAAAAAACTTTTCTATACCTTTTCATAATCTCAAATATGTAAAAAGTTCTCCTTTCAAATCTGATAGCTGACTTAAATTCCCATAATGGTGTAAAAGACTGTACAAGCTCATAATGCTTTCTAATATTCACCCTGCAGCAAAAAGCCTAACTCTTGTTACTCAGCCCAACATTCTCAACAAGTCTGGATGAAGAAACTTCAAGCCTAAGCCTTCATGTCATTAGAAAGGTGGCTCTTGTAGCAACTCACTGCTGTACAGCTTTGCCATCACACACTTAATGCTGCTTTAAGCTGAAACTAGTCCGTCGCTGGCACTTCTGCAGACAGGCTCCCACAGTCTATCTGAACATCTTAAAATTACATGCACCTACAAAAGGCAAAATTTAACATTTAAAAATTCCATGGGGTGAAGGTGTGGAGGGAAGCAGGCAAAATGCACATTACTAGTACACTAAAGCAGATTTATATGTGTAAGTGGTCACCTGCATTAACTATGCACTCTGTAAAACCTTAAATTGCTTAACATTGAGCATTAAAATTCTAGGACACTTACAATAGCATATATATATATATATATATATATATATATATATGTATCTCCAGAAAGACCTCTAAAGAAGACAGGACTAATTTAGTCTGTTAAGGCAACATAAAAATCCACACTTAAGCAGCTTTTTTAATCAAGCCTTGTTTGAAATACAGTACTCCACAATTAAGTTTTAATGCTGGGTTTTTATTTTGGGGCTAGCCCTGTAAGGCAATAACTACGGAAGAGAAGACAAAGAGGTAAGCAATCATCTTAATGTTTAAGAGTTATCATGATCTAGGCTGTAGATAGTCACCTCTCAACGCCTGCCAACACCAACTGCAGTACAAGAGAAAAACAGCTAAAAATTTGTGTCCTTTTGTAAGTTTAAGGAAAACCACTTGAACAAAGCAGGCTTATAGGCAGTAAACCCGGCTTATTGCTTTACATACAAAACCTCTTTGGCTATCAAGTCATACGGAAGGTGTGTAGTACTGAAGTAACTATTTAGCCTTTTCCAGTCAAAAAGTGTACTATTTATCTAATAATCTTGAACCATTACACCACAAAACCTGCTACCACCAGCTTACCAGACTTATTTCACATGCAGTATGAAATATCACAATGACTGTTTTTCTTCCTCTGTTAGTAAACCAGGGTTGGATGGTGAGGGAGGGAGGTGATTATACATAGCTAATAATAAATGTTTCAAGTAAATCTGTGCGTACTATTTTTGCCAAGTAATTTTTAGGCTACTAACTCTTAAAACAGTTTGTGTCACCAGGCTTTTTAAGCCTGGTTTGTGTAATTATTCTCAAGCCTTTTAGGCTCCCTACCAAATTAAGGGTAAAAAAAAACCCCATAAATCTGACAACCCACAGTCAAAATATCCAAAGTCAGTGCTCTGCTAAAGAAACACATGGTATCTGCTCTTGTGTGAAGTCCTCTATAACCATCTAGCAGTAACAAGGGCACATAACTTCTATTGGTTGTGCCATCTACTATCTGCATGAATCATGTAATGTACGCCTGGCATTCACAGCTTTTCAAAGCAGCAGTAGCAAAAAAAATAAGGCAGATGCAAATCTGGGTGATAAAGTTAGTAGGTGGTTCTCAGTCACTTTCCTTCCACCACTCCTGGAAAATCCATAATCCACTGGAGCAAAATTCTGCTGCTTTCCACATATAGCAGGATATGGTCACTTTAGGGTACTACCTTAAGACTGATGTCCCATAGAAACTTGCTTTTGTTTCTCTCCCTCCTCCCAAAGGTTCTATGTGTCCTGCCAGGCCTAGGTGAGAACACTCACCCCAGCCAGGCACTCAAGAGAAAAAGCTCTTGTCCTTTGGATGCCCTATGCATGGCCAGGCTCCCCTGGCTGTTTATACTTTAAATGTGACAAGCTGAATTTGTGCAGATATTTAGCAAACTTCACAGTCTCTCTAGTGAAATGGGCACTAAAACAGCTCTTCAAAGGAATACCAATTTTAGCTGTTACTACCTAGGTATCACTAACTGTCTTGAACTGCAGCCAACACTGCAGAACTTTATTGTAGAAATATATAAGACACTGCAAGTGAAAGAAATAAGGCCACTGAGAGCTACTGGGAAGGCAGCCAGTTTAAGGTTAGGTTTTATGGTTTATCATCATTCAGTTCAATGCAACTGTCACAGGTCAGAAAAAGCAAACTGCAGCATCTTAGTTACAGTGATGCTAGCAAAAGAGTAGTTTTCAAAAAATGCATAATATTAACATTGAGCAAATTAAACCACAGAAATACGGCTTTCTCATTTTTCCCCAAATTAAGAAAAACCTTTTCAACATTAGATTATGGCTAAGAGTTGCAACAAATGCTAACTGAAAAAGCTGAAGCTGTGTTCTCTTCTGCTTTAAGAACTGTTTCCCTTCCACGTTTTCAATTTATGTGTCATTTAAAGAAGAAAAATCATATTCCATACATCACACATTTAGACTGGCACAACAGTTAAATGACAATAAAAAGTCATTCATAATATCATGTTCAACAACAGACTTTACTAAGATACTCAGTTAAAAGCAAAAGTATTGCTGGATATTTCTCATATGTGTTATCATAAGTTTTGTTTGGGGATTTTTGTTTTTATATTTTTAACAGGCCTGAGCTAATGCATGCAATGAAAAAGAAGCAGCATGCCTATTAAAAGATACTATATTGACCCAGCACAGACTCCGTCTTCCATTCTCCAATTAAGTTCTGAGCAGCAGCCTATGTAGACAAATGGAGAAGTCAGCAGCTAAAGGATTTCTTACCGAGTGGAAGGATTTCTCAGCACAGTAAGCTGCAGCAGTCTTTTCATCCTACTTATAGCTTTGAAATTTGAGAGCTGCTTTTTTTTTTCCCCATTTTAATATAGGAGCAGGAAGGTCTCAGTGCTTCGAAGCACATATCCCAGCAGTGACAAGATGAATACACACACCAGAAAATCCCCCATCAATTCCTGTTTCAAGGGGAAAAATAAAATGTCATTCAACTATTTCTGCCCAGCTAACAACTGGGACTGTCATTTAAAGCCTTTCACCTTAGGAAAAGGAACCTATTGCCAAGTCTGCCACAGCTTTGGGTTTTTTTTAAAGGCATTGCACCATGAGAACTTGAAGTACATTCATAAATATATTCTTGGCACACTTTAATTGAAAAATATTTTAATATTATTACATAGTTAGTCAAAGCATAACTATTAGGTACAAGTAACTCAGTAAGTTACAGACACACCCACTCAAGCAACAGTATCAGTGATATTTATTTAAAATACTTTTGCTGAGGAAATTTGTTTCATAAGTGATGGTTTTCAAACAAATCAGCAGGGTTATGAAAAATAAAACAGAGACAAAGTCTCTGGGGAGAAAAAGTTACAAAGAAAGCTTCTGCGTATCAACAAAACCTCAGTCTTTTGATTTGCAGCCTGAGTCTCAGTCCCAACCTTTTCCGTCTAATGAACCCCACTATCCATCTTTAGATCTGGCTTGTTCTTTTCATTCTTCACCGAGTAGATGAAATATGTTAAGGTGTCCTTTTCATTCACTGGAATTGTCCTAAAGTGGCAGCCAATTATCTACAAAGGAAGAATGCAAGGAAATTAAATAACAACTCCTATATGCAGTAACCAAAGTTTCAGACTGAAATTGAGGACATTAAGCTTTAAAAGATTAATCAAGCAGCTTTAAAAAAGCTACCTCTCTTCAAAAGACTTGGTGCAGTTTAACTAAAAAACTATAAAGCAACTAATAACTGCAGAATATCAACAAAACGACAGCACAGAAATGGGAGGCTACTGCTCATCACTCAGGCTGGGGGGGACATGAGGGTATGTCTGTATCAAGTCACAGACAGAAACATCCACAACAATTCAAGAATCTTCAAAATACTATCACTGAAAATTCACTGCACTGGAACACTAAAATATGATGATCTCTAAACAGTTTTTGAATCATTTTTTTGTTACTCCATTCCAGAAGTCTTTCCCTTCACCACAATGAACATCAGCTCTAACACAAACCATGCAAAATATTATACTTGCCCAAGTCTATTCTCTGGCTTTTGGCAGAATGTTTTGTTAGACTGCAATTAGCAAGCAAGAAACATGGAATTGCTCATTTAACTACCACTATATACTACTAGCTATATAGGTATAAAAGGTTAGTCTAATTAGCAAGTTAGGAAGCTTTTTAAACCCCATCTTCCTAAAAAAAAAAAAAAGAAAAAAAAAAGAACATCACAAAGAAGTAGTTTGACAGAGTGACAGAGTCCTTTGAAGTGAACTTTAAGTAACAGCCAGAGGAGTGTCTATCGTATGTAAGGACAGGTTACAAGGAATCACATGTACTGTAAACTACACAAGTTTTGCAACTTATGTTCACAAAGGCCTGCATGTCAGTCAAACCAAGCACATGACAGAAGCAGCTTTGCTGGTGCACACCATGCAGTAAGAATAACCCAATGCAAATATCTAGAGAGATACCTAAAGCAGACACTTAAAAAATGCCAGTTGTGCAGAACAAAAACAGCTTGTGCTTTTTCAAATCACATTACTGCTAACTCAAAAGCTAGCTGTACCTCAACTTGCAGATAAGAAAACAGAAGCCTGATTTCACATTCTTATAGTGGCAGCAGCTCAGCCTTGAGATCTCCCATACATTTAAGAATCTCGCCTTTAATCCACACAAATTAAGGGACAGACCAACAAAATATCTGCACTGGAGTATAACTGAGTATCTCTGCACATAAGTGAAAAAACAGTAGCTATACCTCCCTTTTAAGAAGATAACCAGCTGCCATGGCTTAAACCAAGACACCAGTTCTCCCACATATTTACATCAGCATGCTGTAACTGCATCTTTGTAGTGCAGAATTCCTTAAAAATATACTTTTAAGCTGCAAAGATGCTTATGTACAGCTGTACGCACACAGCTCCAGCACTTTTAGGAATATTAATAAAAATCCTTAATTTCATAAAGTTCCATTTTTCTGATGGCAGATCCCAGTGATTTTAATCAACAGAATTAATTATCAGTAGAACCCTGGTTTTTTTCAG